GCCTGCATTTTCAAAAAAAAAAAAAAAAAATCCCTGAATCCCCTTAAGTAGGAATCTTGGGGAAAACGGATGCAGAGCAGCTGCATTCACATAGGCTGTAACTCTGGGTGTGTGTAATTAGCTCCGGGAAGGTTTATAGCTTGTATCCTAACGCATCTCTGAGGTCCCTCTGTTCCACAGCTACGAGACCTTTTTTCTAATGTTACTCAAATTACCATTTAATAGTATTGTCTGATGAATTGTGCAGGCAGAGGGCGTCCGTCTGAGCTTGTAAGTGTCGGGCAGACAGGCCGGCTCCGCTCCAGGTTTCTGCGCCCCCGGAGGACGGGCCTCCCTCCGGGCGCGGGGCTGGGCTCTTGTCCCAGGCCTCCCTGTTGTCCGGCCGCCTCCTGGTTCCCGTCCCCACCGCCACCGGCAGGAAGGGACACACAGAACCTCACGGGCGCCCCCTCCCTCCGCTCTGCACTGGCTTCTGCCAGTAGCTTTTTGCAAGGTTGTTTTTTGTTTTTTTTTAATGATTGAAGAATCGACGTGCAGCTGCCACGCTGCTCCACGTGAAGTGGCTGTAAGGCTTGTGTCTGCCCTGCAAACTCCTCATTAAAGGACAACAGGGACGCCCACGCCGAGCCCTGCACTTCGGGTGGGTGTGTACAGGCGGGCGTGTGTGCGGATTGTCACAGCGGCCCTCAGGCGTGCACCATGCACCGCACTGTCCAGGCGGGGGACACCCTGGCTGAAGGCACCCCACGGGGCTGAGACTGATCGCGTCCACACTGCCCTGTTGTGCTCTGGCTCATCTCAGCGGGGGAATGCTACTGAGAACATCCTACAAAGAGTATTGCGGCCTGGAAATGATATTTAAGTCACAGAACCCGCAGCTGAGTAGTCACAGTGAGTAGCATTTGCATATGCCTAAGTAGGTCTTATCCATCTCAGGGGGGCTTTTCCACAAGACTCTCCATGAAGTACCGACCCTCCACAACGCAAGGTTCCCACCTGCTCAGAGCCGGTCGGTTCCCACGCATGTGCTCTGCAGACCTGAAATGTGGGAGGACTACGGTGTTAGGAAGTCACGCAGAACCTGCCGGTTGCCCAGGACCTCAGCGGGCAGCACCCGGACCTGGAGGGGACACGCCAGGCGGAGCTGCACCGAGGACAGGCCTGTGGCTGAAGACGCAGGACCTGATGCGCGCACGCCTGCTGGGCCGTCGCCAATCGCGCAGCTCTGCACAGCTGCGCTTGGTAGTGAGAACAGGAGTCCCGGGTGTCGGAGGCCCAGCCGGGAGGGTCATGCTGGCCCTTCTCCCGTCCATAGCCCGCGTCTGCGTGACCGCTCAGGGCCTGCATCCTACCCACTGGTAAATATTTCGAATGCTCTGCCTGTGAGTTCCCTGTACAGAAAGCAGTGATGAAGTAGTAGACACCAAACAGCCGCTGCTGTGGGGGAGGGACACCCTCCCTCCCACCCCTTGTGCTGGCCCGAGCAGCACCCCGACGGGCAGAGCTTTCACCTGCACACGGGGCTGCAGAAGGGAGACGCAGACCAGACGGTTATTAGGCCTGACAGCTTACGACCCTTTCCAGCTGCCGCAGGTCACGCGCTGTCAGCCCGAGTGGCAGCGTGTCCGGCACCTTCAGCAGGACCGGCCTGTCCTGCCCGCCCACCACGGCTGTTTCTGCCAGAAGTGCAGCAGTGAGAGGCAGGGGACGCAGGGATTAAAAAGGTCCATCCATTCCTCGCTCCTCCAGGATGGGCGGCCTCTCAGCCCCTCCACAGTCGGGCTCTCAACGTGGGGAGGGGAGACAGGAGTGTCAGGACCCCTGGTGGGCTGCTGGCCTCAGGGCAGGGCCCCGGAATCGCCCCACCTTGTAAGTCCACTTTCAAACACTCTTCTCCTCACCCGCTCAAATTACCCAGGCAGAGTGCCATATGCACATCTTGGGATGGAAGGACAATTGCTCAGAGCCTCGCCGACAGCATCTCTTCCAGAAAACCTGCCAGGACGAGCACGCCCTCTGTGGCACGTGTGCCAGCCGTGGGAGACTGGAGCTGTCACCTGGAATGGAGAGGCAAGTGACAGCTTCACTCATGTGTCTCCTCAGGGAGTTGTGGGCTCCCCTGCTACACAGCACTCTCCTGACTCCCCCTTGCGCTGTGATTTTTGGAAAGTGTGTTCATTGAGTGCAGTTATATTAGGGACAGCAACCGAGCAGACGCCTGCTGTGACAGGCACAGAGCTAGGAAACACCCCCAGGTCGTGTCCAGCAGGCGCATGCCTGCCCCTACGCCGCCTTCTCCCCCGGGGGCCACCCAGCAGTCACCTCCGGTTCACGCAGCTCTTGGACGCCACCGCCTTCCCTCAGGAGAATAAGCCACATGAGGACCCGAGGGCGGGCTGCGTGGCGCCTTTCCAGGCAACCAGTGCTTCACCTGCACCATCGTGTGGCCCGCAAGTGGCGTCAGGACATATATTTCACAAATGAGTCCACTGGGGTTTAGGAGGCTTACCGTGTGCCGACAGTGGGACTCCTAGTGCGAGCGAAGTGTCACAACCGGAGGCATTTCCAGTGACTGTAAATGACTCAACACGCCGCTGCCGTGTGTCCTTCTACAAAGCTGACGGCTAACTTCAAGGTCATAGTGTGCAGTGCAGACGTGTCCCATGGCTACGTCTGTGGGACGCCCTTAACGGACAGGCACTTGTCACAGTACACATGCTCCCTTGTATGTCACACATATTTACTATTCACGTCACCATGTGCTTTCCCTCAATGCAGTCCCTGAGTGAGGAAGTTCTGAGCGTGGATCTCCCCTTGTCCCCTGGAGGCCCCATGAGTGCTGGTTCTGGGGACAAAGCCGGGGGCAGCTCTGTGGCGGAAGCCAGGCTAGGGGCTGAGCATCAGTGGAGTTTGGGGTCACATGCTTGGGACTGAGCTGGCCACCCGGGCTCTCAGATAAGAATGCCTCTCCCATCCATGGCTCCTTGTTGAGGTGGAGACCTGGAGGCCACCCTAGCAGTGACAATGACAGATGCGATGTCCTGGTTTCAGGACACCCCCTGCCATGGAGAGGTCCCTCCTGGCTGACTCCACACGTCTCCACTCAAAACTCTAACCGGGGACTCCACAGAAGTTTCCCAGGACCTCAGGGATGCTTCTCATCTACGACTCCCCACGTCACCTGGTTCCCAAGGCCAGGAACCAGCCGTGGCCCAGGAGGTGGTGGAAGCGGGTGGGAGAGGGTGCAGACAGAGGAGCTGGTGAGACCTTTGAATATTTACAACTTTTAGCTCATGGCGTCTTTTACTATAGTTCTAACCCTAATTATTGTCAAATTCAATCTTGGTTTACCCTGGATTTTCTTTTTTGTTTCTTAGTGAATTTAACGTGGTGCCTTCTTGAGTCACCACGCGCATTTTGGGAGGTGGGTTACGGTGCAGACACTGACCTGACTCTTGGCTCCGCCGCCTCCAACACAGTAAATTCAGTACAAAGTCTAATGCAGAGTTGTTACCATTAATTAAAGCAGGAGCTCTCATAATCCTCCCCAAACGCTGGCATTAGTTACTCCAAAATGACAGCCATTACCAAACATTATCATCATTCATTTACTCTTTAGCAGATGCTTAATTAAGACTTTCATGAGCCATTATGAGATTTAACCAGGAGAAGTCTGTGTTCACTGAATTAGTTTTATAATATCACAAGCTAGGATGACTGAACACAATCGATATGGCAATTCAAAAGCTGTAATTAAAAGGAGGGAAACATTAGCGTTTTCTCCCTACCTGCAGCAGCCTTATGTATTCACAGGGATCCTCCACAGATTTAAAAAAAAATTATATCAAGAATGACAAGGAAAGCGCCAGAGTACTCTTCAGATCTCACAAGACTAATACCGGGAATTTGGTCTAATGCGACATTTAATGAAATGCAGAATCAGATCTGGGGTTGGGGAGAACTTTCCATCCCCAGGTGACAAGGCCAGCAGTGGGGACTGCTCGTTTCCCGAGGGACACTCATCTAGGGTCCCTGCGCCCCAGGTCCCCGCGCCTGCCCATCACGACACCTGCACTGTCCATCCGGGACGCTGTGGAGGGGACTGTGTGCTGTCAGTGACAACACCGGCTGGCAGCAGCACCTCCCTGACTTGCCAGGGGCCTCCAGGCCAGCAGGAGCCCACTTCCCGAACACCGAGGGGCAGGGCGCTGCTCTGTGAACGCTCAACACAGAAGCAGAGGAGGAAAGCAGTCGCCTGCCATCGATACGAGCACTCAGCTTTCCATCCGTTGTCCCGTAATCCTTACAAGGTCCTGTAGGTTGAGGAGTCTGAGGTGAGCCTGTCCACGCATCCCGTGTTCTGTGACCATGTCTTGAGTGTTACATGTGCAGTTCACAGGGGTGATCATTGTGACTATCCCAGATCAAGATTTTTCAGGGCAGAAGAGAACCTACATCGACTGCAGCTGTCATGTAGTGACGTTGGGCGGCCTCCACAGGGAGGCTGAACCCGCAGTGAGAGGTCTGAGCTGACTACGTGATGCTGAACTGCTCAGGGTCTGGAGGCTGGAAGTCCCAGATCACAGGGCCCAGGGAGGGTGTGTTCCAGGCTCTCTCCCAGCTTCTGGTGGGTTCTGGAAACCCTCGGTGCTCCTTGGCCTGTGGACGCATCCCTCATCTCTGCTTCCATCTTCACATGCCCTTTCCCTGCATGTGTGCCTCCAAACCCCCTTTGTAGGGACACCTGTCATATACAATGAACCTCCCACCCGACTCCAGTATACCTCATCCTCACGGTCACATCTGCAACGACCCCGTTTCCAAATGTTACATTCTGAGGCCCTGGGGTTAGGGATTCAACACTTGGATTTCCGGTGGACACAATTCAACCCTAACAAAGGGGACAGAGAAAAAGTGAGCAGGGAGCTTCCGTCCACAATGCAGGCCCAACACCCATGAGGAGAGAGAGGGGGAGCGGGCAGGAAGCACATCAGACTCACCGCAGGTGTGTCAGTGATGTGGCCGGGCGCACGGGGACACCTGCGTACATGCTGCGCGTTACAGGTATCCCACCACGCTCATCTACGGTGCTCCCCCGCCGTGCTCTCCTACCATGCTCTCCTGCAATGCTCAGTCATCACGGGGCAGCCGTGCTCTCACAGCCACTCTTGTGGAAGGAGGTCTGAGTGAGGCACGTCCACAAAGGAAACCGAAGGAGAGGAGATGCCAAACTGTGGGTGAGACTGGGAAGGTCCAAGCAGACACAGCCATCCAACACAAGATGACATGAGGAAGCCAGCTCTTCACAGTCACGCAGGAGAGTGAGCATCAGGGGTCTGTCAGCAAATCAGCCACGGGGTCCAGTCACTGCTGACGTACAAACTGCCCAGACTCGAGACTGTGCACTTTGCTTGGGTCACTCACATGGTATCAGCTAAAGGCCCGACGAGGCCAGACTTCTAGGGCGGTTCACGCTCATGGCCCATTGCTCATGCTGGCTGATGGCTGGTGCCTGTGCTGGTCTCAGACTTCCCACAGAGAGAGGAACCAGGAAATCAGGTGACTTGTTGACCTGCCTTGGAAGTCATCCAATAACATCCATCATGTTCTTTAGTCAAAGAAGTCATGTCTTCTCAAATTCCAGGGGAGGGGGCAGAGAACCCATCTCTCAGTGGGAAGATCGTCAAACAATTTGTGTTCAGTTTTCTTAAACTACCGCACTGCACAGTGGATTAACAGAGAATGATCAAATTGTGTTCTGAAGAGATGCAGAAAATTCATTTCATGACATTTAATGTTTATTTAATGAAAAGTCTCAGAAAACAATAGGTGGAAATTTGCTATCCTGAAAAAGGTAATATATAAAAACCTATAATACACATCATACTTGGATAAAGTTTATATAATTTATACTAAGATCAGGAACAAGACAAGGATGCCTGGTATCATTGCTACTGTTGAACCCTCGATGTCCTAGGAACAAGTATAAGACACGAAAATAAAACAATAAGCATCAATATTGAAAAGAGATTTGCAGTTGATAAGATCATCAAATAGATTCCTCAGTACGATTGATGGGCTTTTAGAGGTAATAGGAAACTAAGCAAGGTTGCCAGGTATAAGATCGGCTGATACAAATTAGTATTGTTCCTCTCCCCCATCACTGTTCAAACAGAAAGTATTATAGTGAATAAATAAATTTACTCAATGCTCATTTAGTAAAATATTATGGTAAAATAGTAAAAGATAGCCTATAGTAAGTGAGTAAATAAGCATTAATAGTGAGAATAAAAATTAAGGCACTAGAGTGTCCCCTTGCATTCTATCGCTGTCACTAAGCTGCCATCCTCACAAGGCCACAGAACAGTCCTTTGCTCCTGTTCACACAGGATGTCACCTCCAGGGGGCGGGGCCGGCTCATCGCCTTCATCCCCGAGCCCCAGTGCTGGGAGCTGTGACAGCCACTCCGCACAGAGGTGCTGAAGGAATTGACCTAACGACGAAGGCTTTTATGAAGACACATTTTAAACCCCATTGGAGGACAAAAAAGAAGGTATGAGCAAATGTATGGCTTTGAATGTGATGCGTTAATTTTGTAAAGATGTCAAAACTTCTGAAATAGAAATAAAAATCCCAGCTGAAATTTTAGGTAAACTAAAAAACACCACTTGAAATTTATATGAAAAAAATATATAAATAGCAAAGTAATTTTAAAATACAGCGCACTGCGGGGGCGGGGGACAGGCCTGTGCACCTCGCAGTGACAGTGATACAAGCTCTGTGGGCCGTAGGAGCACACGGATGGATCAACACAGGGAAACGGTTCAGAAATGGACCTACGGGCACACGGGAGACCCGGCATTTAATCAAGACGGCCGCTGCACAATCGAGAGAGAAAGGACAGAGGTTTTTAAAGGCTGGGGCTGAGAGGCCAGCTCACTGTATGGAAGAAAAAAAATGAAGCTGGAGCCTTCATTTTGTCATATCAAATGTGGACTTCAACTGGATTAAACACTCCAATGGGGAAGGTCAAGTTATAGCGCTAATAAAACACAAGATCTGGGGACAGGAAAGCGCTTTATCCGCCTCACGAGCCCACGAGGCAGAACATGGGCAGGCGAGTTCACAAAGACAAACAGCTGAGAAGACGGGGCTCTGCTCTCGAACATGCAAGGAGTCCCTGCAGATCGAGACGAAAAGGAGGGGACCCTACAGAAAGTCAGGGAACGACACGTGTGGACCATCCCAGAAGGGGCCTCCCCGGAAGGCAGCATACATGTGCGACTTGCCCTGTCGAGCGAGGGGACGTGTGCACAGCAATCAGTGGGGAAACATGCTACATCAGACAGGCAACAAGCAAAGCAGCGAGACGGGGTGCTGAGTGGGGCCCGGTGGGGCTCCGGGGGACCTGGTGGTCCATGCGGGGAGGCAGCCCCCCGTGTCTCACGGGACGGCGTCTGCGAGGGTGTCCTGCGGTGGGTTGTGTCGGGCGCCGCCACCAGGGGAAGTCATTTGGGGGGTGACGGTGTGGCTGCTGCACAGAGCTTCCTTCGGTCCACGTCCAGCTGGGGCTGGGCCGGTGTGTCAGCCTCATCCTGGGCCTTCACTGCGTCACTCTGCCGCCAGCAGAGGCCCCATCTGCAGGCTGGAGGTGGTCTCCATCACCCATCACAGTGCTGCAGCCCTGGGACGAGGGCCAGACCGTAGGAAAACAGGAGGCTTCTTTGTGAGGGCTGGCCTGGAAGTCACTCTTGAAAGGTCAGGACACAGCCCCCAGGCCACCAGTCAAAGCTCCAAGCCACGGCTGAAGGAGGGAGAGCGTGCGTGGGGGACCCTCAGCACGGACGGGCGACGCGTGGTCAGCTGTGAGGTAGGACACGGTGGTGAGAATCCACAACTGGAGGAACAAAATGTGTAAATCTTAAAAACAGGCTATTAGGACAAAGGACACAGCCCAACCCGTATATGCAAATTTACAGCAGCTGCACAAAACACTGCCCATTTTAACCCAAACACACGCTCAAACACGAAGAGCAGACTGGAGGTGAGGCTACCTGGAGGAGGGGACACCGGGGTGGGGGGTGGGCGGCGGGGACACCAGGACAAACAGCACTCAGGCGGCCCTATGGGGTGCAGGGCGGGGTCCCCATGCCTCCTGAGATCAAAGAGAGCCGGGAATTGGCAGAGGTGGGTCGGGCGTCTGGAATGGAGGGTTTTAACCAATTGCAGCTGTGCAGCTGGGAAATGGGCCACGGAGCCTCCTGTCCTTCCTGGGCCATCGCTGACCTGGCCCACAGGGACCCCAGCCCCGCCCCTTCAGTGGACCCTAGCCACGAAGTGGAACAGAGGCACATTAGGCCTTTGTGTGTCACATTTTGAAAACACTGGAAAAAAGGCACCTCAAGTGACTGAAAAAAGCTATGAGTGGGTGCTTGGGAGAAAACGCCACTTCAGACATGAAAATGGGAATGAGAGAGGGCCGAGAACCCCGCGGCTGTCCCCTCCAATGTCCCGGAATTTCTACAATAACATCTTGTGCCTGCGGTCTCTGCAGACTTCTTGGGGGTCGTCCCAATGGGTGTGACCCAGCGTATCTGCGAGCAGGTGCTGATACTGTGCAGAGTGACTCACAGAAGGCACTCACATGCCCTCCCGCACGCTGAGGCCCTGGCCACGCACGCAGACAGCATTTCCCCGACTCAGTGCATTTAGACATGGGGCACTGAGAACTTGAAGCCAGTTTTACGCCTGTCTCCCAAGATTTGGGGAGATCAGAAGATAGTATGTCTGTTCTCTGGGAGCCTCTTCTAGGGTAACTAAACCATTAGCCAAAGTAACATGCGTAGCTTAGACGACCTGTGCATTTCACCCTGAAAATAAGAATGCACTTTACAGTGCCTCTAAGTGTAACTGCTAAAATGGCTACTTGTTCAGTGTTCCTAGCCTTCCTGGGTAGGCATCAGCTCATATTTTATGCTTTGATCCCCTCAAGGTCAAGAACAGATAATGTCCAAATGTGGGTGCCCTGCTCGTTTGCAGAAGGTTCTCCAGCCCATTGGGGCGGAGGGGGGGGGAGCCCTGTGGCAGGACACACCGCGGCCGGTCCAGGCCGCCCCTCTCTGCAGCGGGGAGCCAGCTCCAGTTCAGCTGAGCCCTTCCCTCAGGATTCAGGCTGGCAAGCCTCCCTCTGGAGGACGGCACGAGAGAAGGTGGGTCATGGCACCACCGATGGTCCACACGGCCACTCGCCGGCAGCCTGCGGATTGGCCAACTCTGGACTGCTGAGGCCACAGGGACCACCTATCAAAGTGTGAAAGATGGAGAGCAGGGAGGCTCGGCAAACTGGCGGCTGACATATCGGGATAAAGGCACCGCCACAAGCTACCATCCACCCAGAAGACACACGCAAGATGAGCCTAAGGATCTGGGCAAAGCAACTGCACAAGGTCGGGACGGGGTGATGAGACGTGACCACCCCCACGGGAGAGCTGGGGTGAGGAGGGCAGGGGACACGTCCACCACACGCTTGGGGCCAGCCTGGGCTGCTGACCCTGGGCAGGCGGGCGCCTGCTCTCAGAATTACCCGGCTTGTCCTGCACGTTTCTCAGAAGGATGTGTGGACTGGCTGCCGAGCGTATTCCAGGAGGTTCTGACAGACAGACCATGGCCGTCACATGGCCAGTCCTTCTGCGGGGAGCAGCGTGAACTGGGCTGTAAGCTAAGCCCGCACGCAGTCCGGGTCCCCTCACTGCTTTGCAGCCCCTTGCGTAACCGACTTGGGGAAGAACCATGAGTGCGTGCTAAGAAATCAGGGGGTGCTCAGAATAGCTGCGGGTGCGGACATCACCCCGATTTACACACTGACTGCAATGGCCTCAATCTAACCTCCAGTGACAGGAAATGATAGCGAGGAAACAAACTGACTCATGAGAACATGAGCCATTCTGCAGGACAGCTGACCTGGTCTCTGCAAAGTCGGTGCAAGGGGGAGATGGCTGGGGACCAACGGGGCACAAGCAACACGACGTGTAAACTCTGACTGGATCCTGGTTTCAAGGGACAACGGGGGAAACTGAATACGGATGGACTAGCGTTGGTATCAAGTGATGCGACCATTCCCCTCAGGGCCGAGACAGTTGCGGTGTGCCTGCTGTTTGGCATAATTATTACCATGGGCCCCCCGTGTCACTTCTTGAGAGGCCCTCCCTAGGCCCCGGCTCACCACAGGCAGCACAGAGCAAGGGGTAGGAGAGAGCTCTGGGACACCATGCCCAACCTCAGCAAGATGGGGACGGGGACATCTAAGGCCTGTGTTGAAACAGGTGTGACCGCCAGCTGCTGCACAACCAGACGGTCAGCCTCGTGTGCAGCCTTCAGAGCGCCTCGCGGAGGTGTCTCTGGAAGGTCTCACTCCTTGAATCCCCTTTTCAATTGAGTAATATATTTTATGAATAAACACTAGTGTGACTTGAGTCAAAATGGCACGTGACACATAAACGCATCTTACTATAAAAAAGAATGCAGACTGAAAACCTGAGTGAGCCACCTTGGGTACCGTAACTTTTTGGAGGTCCAAATTCCCTCCAGCCACGGTGACAACGGAAGGCCGTTGAGAACGTCACAGACGAGAAGCAGACTGCCTTCCACTGTCCCCTGTCCCTCTGCAGAGCCTGCATCTATGGCTGGACCTCCGGTGAGCCCAGGTCCCCGGCACATGGTCGCGGTGCTCTGGAGAGCAGCCGTCCTTGGTCGTACTGCATCTTGGCCTAGAACTTTCTACCAGATGAGGCTTCTGTCGTCTCCAGACAGAAGACTAGCTGTGTGACTTGCACTCCCCAAGTCTATTTTATTCTCACTCGCAGACACCCAAATGCTCCAGGCATGCTGTGAGTGAACCAAACACGGCAGAAGATAATTAAGCCTGCAGAGAATTTTGTGTAGGGATCAGCATATCCAGGGCCCTCTCGGATCTTGTGACATTTAAAAATCTAATATGAATTTCATTAGTTTTTTTTGCCTTTTGTCTCAGACTTCAATTTTTACAAAAAGCACAGATTTCATGTTTCAAATTGTGAGTGCTCTGGTACACCATAAACCCGCCCACATTGGGTGGCTCACTCTTTCTGTTGTGCAGCCATGTGGTTGTTTGGTTGCCTGCCTGGTTGTGCGGTTGGTTGGTTCATTTTCTGGTTTTTGGGTGTGGTTGTTTCATCATACGGTTATGTGGTTGGTTCTATGGTTGTGGGGTTGGATGGCTATGTGGTTGTTTGGATGGTTGAATGGTTGGTTGGTTGTTCCTTTGCCTGCTGGACCCAGTTGCTGAATTCATGGTGCCACTCTTTTCCCCACATCATCCTCTTGTGCACGGCATTTTCTCTTCCTTGCTCTTGTTACCCTCTTTCATCCACTCCTTTTTTTCTGCATTCCCTCTCTCTGCCACAGGCAATCATTTTACAACATATCTTTTTATTTGACGACATTCTTGTAAAATCCATTTTATGCGCGTGCATGTTTGTGAAAATGCTTCTGAGCGCGTCTCAGCATGGCTCATTCTTTCCTTCAGGTGTGCTGCTTTAGCGCTCCATCTGTGAGGCTACGTGTCCCTCTAACTTGCAGCTTCTAACACCCACATCACATCCTTTCACAATCACCCCTCCATGTCCTCAGGCAGCCTCCTGCTTCCAGGACCACAAACCACGCTGAAGCGACTATGTTCGTCCATGTAAAGGCAAGGGCCTGCGTGAAAGTCCCCGGTTACGCGTCCAAAGGCAGAGGTGGGGTCACAGGTGAGGCCTGAATTAACTTGACCGAAACCGTTCTCCATTCCTCTCAGGTGGGCTGCACGGTTCAACACCCTCGCTAACATCTGCACGATCCAGCTTTCTAAACTCTCTTGGTTGCTTTTTTCCCCCTCTTCCAAGAGCTTTAGAAAGTTCTGGCTGACTCTGGGATTTCACGTCAGCACAAAAGCGCTCCTCGTTCAGCTTGCTTTCTGCGCTTTAGAAGGTAGGGGTCCTCTCGGGGGTCTGACTGCCCACCCTGTTCTCATATCCTTGATTCCCGGTTCCCAACTCACTCTGTTCCTCGGGGGCCCGATAAGCCCCTCCCTCTCTCCCTCCCTCCTCGACCCGATAGGCCCCTCCCTCCCTGCACGGACCCGATAAGCCCCTCCCTCCCTGCACAGGACCTAAGTTGAACCCTTAGCCTTCATGTACGCACCTACTCACTCATTTAGTGAATATTTATTGAGTCTGGCGGTGTGCCCATACAGCAGGCTGCAGTACCGCGGCCAGCACACTCCCTGGCCCCGTGAAGGGCTGCGATCTGCACGCAGACACAACGGGCAAACACCGCACAGGTTAGACTGCTGGGTGCCAAGGCCTAGTTCAGGGGCTGTCGGAGCCTGTCAACTAGCTGAGAAGCCAGGGGTGTGACGGGGAAGTGGCCCATCACGGGGCAGCGGGCAGAGAACGGGGCACTCGACACCCTGCTGTAAGCGGGCGAGTCCTGCCCCAGCTGCGCCTGGCCCCACCTGGGGCGTCTCCACTGCATCTTCCCTGGCGACTCCAGCTCCATCTTTGCTGGGTCAGGAAAGTACAGTCACTGGCTGCACAGGGCCAGGAGCGGGGCTGGGGCCAGAAAGCTTACTGACTCGCAGAGGATCCCCCTTCTCTCAGCAGTGACCTTCATGTTTCTTCTAGCGACCTGGTCAGTCTTGCTAAATCTTGCGCTTCTGGGCAGTCTCTGCCCGTCCAGGCTGCTGTGACAGAACAGCACAGGCTGGTGGCTTATAAAAGACGTTGAACTCTCACAGACATAAATGGGCTTTTTTCCTCAGTGAACTGTGTTGGTTCTTATTTTTCTGAACCAACAAACAAACACTTGATTTTTCAGATCTACTAGGTGATTTCAGCTTCCAAAACTGGGATGCCTTTGCCTCCTCCCCCGTTCTCATCATGTGAGCCATGAGTGTCTTTAAAAATCTCCTGATGTGTTTATTGGGACTCAGAAAGGAGGGTATAGCGTTCCATGCACCATCTTTACACGGTGTCAGCACTTTCAAAATTTCTTCCATGATGTCTGTTTCCGTCGTCTTGGTATTTCCACAAAGGGTGTTGGCCGCCCACCTGGTGCTCAGGTGCTTTATGCTCATGTGTTCTCATCACAACTGACCCCCAAACTTAAGGATTTGATTTATTCCCAGTGAGAGCAAAACGGACTGCGGATCCTCTGGGGACCCTGGACCAAGGGCGCCTGGTCTACAATGGTCTGCGCTCAGACCTGATGCCGACACGGCACTGTGGTGGCTTCCTCTGTGCCGACAGCTGCTGCCTGTGCCCAAGTTCCTGTAGAAAGGCTTGGGAGTGCTTGCACACATCACACATGATGCCCTCTCCCTGCAGGACCTGAGGTAAATACTCTAGCTCGAAGGAGAGAAATGCTCCGTCGGTCACGTGGGCAGGTAGGACACCTGTGGGACCTCTTCCTGAGGGGCTCACGGACATGTCTCCTGGACCTGATGGGCTGGCTGGGCAGATGTGACACTGTGACACAGCAACTGTTTTCTTCCAGCTCCTGACAGAGCTTCCCAAGCCCTTGGAATCTCATGATACATGTCTTTTCATATGACTCCTGGAGGCGGGAGCCAGTGGTCGCTTGAACCGCAGGTGATTAGTGTTGGAACGTTCAGCCCCACACCCCAACATCACCACGGCCGGAGCTTAACCAGTCTTGCCTGGGTAATGGAAGCACCGTACAATTCCTAAACAAGAGCTTCTGGGTTGGTGAAGGCATTCACTGTGCGTCACGGGGCAGGACCACCCTGAAGCGTTCGGCCTAAATGCTGGCTGAGCATGGTCACTCCTCGTCCCCATAACGGCCGGCAGGAGCGTCACACATGATGTGATGAGGACAGAGGACCCACTCACACCGCACTGCAGGCCGTCCACACCTCCCTCAGGTTTGCAAACAAGAGCTGTTGGAGGTCTGTGTGTTTTACACAATAAGGCCCACGGCTAACCGGTTAAATGGGTAATTCTGTGTGCGTTCCTCATGTCCTCCCAACCATTGTGAACGTGATCAATCTCAAGAGAAGTGGAGGGACACAGCGCGTGCCCTTGGCTGATGTTCTCCTGTCCTTCCGGAACTTTCTGTGTGTACAGACACCATGTCTTTGACCCCAATCAGTTGAGAAACTGCAGCGATCCTTCAATTAAGCTGCTGAGACCTTCCAGTGTATGGCCCCCAGACAAGGCCCCCCCCATGTCCTCAGCGAGCCCCATACTCGCGACAGTCACACGAGGTCCACCCTGCCCCAGAGCGCACACTCAGACCTGGGAAAGGCCTTTATGACACTGCTTTGGCTATTATTCCCTGGGTCTGACACCAGAAGCACAGGTAACAATGGGAAAAACAGATCAAACTTCATCAAAATTACAAACTTTTGTGCATCTAAGGACACTGCTAAGACGATGAAAAGAGAAACCACAGAATGGGAGAAAATATTTTCAAATCATATATCAGATAAGGGATCAACATCCAAAATATAGAAAGAACTCCTGTAAGTCACCGACAAAAACCAAATAACCCAATTCACAGGTGGCGATGACTCCAATAGGCATCTCTCCAGAGAAGAGAACGGCCTGGGAACCCAGAAAAGCATGTCCGACAGCTCTCACCACAGGGAGATGTGACCGAAACAGCAGGACATCCTGCTTCATGCTCACCGGATGGCTACTATCAAGAAAAAGGAAAATACAAGACTGGGGAGGACATGGACAGCCTGGCACCCTCACGCACGGCCGGTGGGGACGTGAGATGGTGCGGCCGCTGGGGACAACAGTCTGGGCATTCCCCACAGGTTAAACATAAACCATGTGACCCAGCAAGTCTACTCCCAGGATAAATGAAACCACATGCCCAAGCAGTTTTGTGCATGATGCTCACGACAGCGTTGTGCACAGGAGGGTGGGGGAGCAAGTCGAGGGCCCGTCGAGGAGTGAGATAAATACTAACTGTGGCGCACACACACGGTGGAATGCTCCTCAGCCTCCAGGAGGAAGGACGGTGGGGACGTTTGCACAACAGTGTGAATGTACTTACTGCCACCGAGCTGTGTGCTCAGGAATGGTTTAGACGGTCAGTTTCACGGGATGTGTCCTTCACCACAATGAAGAATATTGCCCAGGTGGGGCCAGTGCTCCCTAAGTGTACCCACTGGAGGGTTTTCAGAACTCGGTGACAAATGGGTGACCAGCTCCGTGACAAAGGAGAGTGTTCTCAGTATCATTCTCGAAGCAGGAAAAGTGGAAAATAATAAACTCAACTAGAATCAAACTACTGACATCGCAGCACTTTGTTGCTCATAAAGCACTGAAAACAAAGGCTTTCAGACACAAGGAGGCTTAAAACTTTATAAAAACATATAACAGCTTCAAACTATACAGTTTACTCAATTTAACAGAATGCCCATTTTCAACTTTTATAAGAATTATAAAAAGAGAATTACTGGGTAGTAATTCAAGACATATGCAATTTTTAAAAAGTGAAAACTTACTTTTATCATAATTTCTCATGCAAAGTTTCAGATGACATCTTCCCAGTATGTACAAATACATGAATAAATAATGTGACAGAAATGTCTTCACAGTTCCCAGGGTTTTGGGTCACAAAATTATAGGGAATTTCATCTTCTTTGTAGACAGGAATTAAGTCTCTGTTCATTTCATATTTGTCTTCTTGCTAAATATTAGCTCTTCTTAAGCAGATGCACTGAGTTTATTCACTATTTTTCTCTGGAAGGATATGTGCGATCCAGTAATTAAAGAAAGCTGAGATCACTCTGGCATGGTCTGCAAAGAAAAAACAAAACCCGAACAAAACAAAACAAATTATCAATTATTTTGTGGATACATATTACCCTTTGGGTCCAAAACGAACCGTGAAACAATCTAACGAAACACAACTTTGGTATAAAGATGATGTTGATAGTGACAGCCACACCGTGACTCATGCCTTACATAACAAATATGGCAGAAAAGATGGATAAACTCCGAATATTTGTACTTTATTTGGGCATGAGCCCCACAGGTTTACAAGTCCTCTGAGACTGAACTGCAGAATATCACAGTATAATATTAACGTTTAATGTCTAAGCTCAAAGGAAACCACATACCGATTGAAACGAAGTGTGAATAGAAGTTTAGGTCAAAGGGGGACAAACTAGCAAGAAGTCAGAGTAGACTTCCAAGTGAGATGATGACGTGATCACACAGCATTCCAATTTCACAAAAGCCAAGGCTGTGCCAGGAACAGCCAGACACACCGTGTCCCACAGGCAGCTCGTCTCGGACATCACCTGCCCCCTTACTGTTTCAGGGGAGTTTCAGCCATCAGTCAGGCTGCACGACTGCGAAGACACTGGGACTCACTGACGGTCAGTTCTGCTCGTAAGGCTACGAGCCTCGGGGTCACGCGGCAGCCTCCCTTGGGGGCACGCGGCAGCCTCCCTTGTTGGGCTCACATCCTGGGCTGCCCACGGAGCTGCTTGTCGCAGAGACAGGGCTGCGGGGAGGGGTCAGGGCCCACAGCCAAGTGCAAACAGAGGTGTGCGGTTGAGGGCCTGCCAAATGCTGCTCTGCCCCAGCCTGGCTGCCTGAGCCCTGCCAGCCGGATCTCCTCTGGGGAGGGTGACAGAACCTCACATGTGCAGAGGATCAGAGGAACGTCATGGTGCCCGGAGCGGGGAACATTCAGTAAATTGGGCTGGCACGCACGATCTGTGCATGTACACGTGCATGATGACACGCGGCACGTGAGCGAGGGGCGGCTGTCACTGAGCACCGGCTGTGCGCGAATGCTGTGCGAGCACCAGCACCACACTTGTGAACGGCTGTTGTACTCTGGTCACATGAATGCCTTATGAATTAGAAAACCATCTACAGAGGGGGGAGTTACTACCCTCTCCCGACCTTTAAACCACTACTGTTTCCACGCCTGTCAGTGGGGAGGAGGCACCGCTACAGAGAAACCTCCTGAGCCGGCTTTCTAAAAGGGAAACAGCTCGAAAGCTGGTGATATCTGCATCAGACACATCGGTCTTTGAAAACAAAGTTTCGCCATGTGCAAAATTTTATTTTACAAAATAACTTGACATAGGAAAACTTTAAATGCATATCCTACATGCACTAAAGGAGAATTCGCTTTTATAGAAAAGCGCGTCATTTGTAAGTTTTCATTCTACCAGCTGCTGGAAGTAAATGGCACTTTGCAGCCAGAACCTGTCCCAGGAGTTTAGTACAAGAAACCCAGAGAAGTGTTTCTGCTCGGTCTCCGATTGCTGCCAAAAGGTTTTTGATGCATTTCAGAGCAAGGCATCGGAAAAGTCGTCAGTGTGAGAAACAGCAAAATTAAAATTTTTTTTTTCCTTAAAATTTTAAATGATTTATTTTCAGTCTCATAAAAACTTCATATTAATGTAACAATAAGACTGGCGTCATGCTATTCGAGATAAAACTTTATTACGGGAATCTAAGTGTGCTGACTGCCTGACATGGGGGCCTGACGACCAGGACAGCAGAGCTGGGCCACCGCGACAGCCGCCTCACCTGCCAATCACTGCGGTGCTTTCTCATTTTACCCGATTCGCCATCGGTGTTTCAAATGCCGGGTCTGGATGGGGAGACCAGGTTTCTGAGGACGAACCCCGTGCGCTGCACTCACCTGAGCCTCCCTGACATTCCGCTGTGAGTGTCACCCGCCTGCCTGGGTTGCGCGTGGGGCCACGCGGGCACCGAGCAGGGAGAGCGGCGCCAGAAAGCACAGGCGACTGCCGCTCGGTCGGCCCGGGGCCCACGCGCCCCCCCTCGGCCCGGCGCCGAGCCCCACCCGCGGGTCGGGAAGCCACGTACCGGGCGGCAGGGCGCAGCGCTGCGGGAACGCGTCCAGGGCGCCCCGCAGGCCTTCCGTGTCGCGAAGCAGCAGCAGCGCCTGCAGGCGGCCCAGCGCGCACAGGTCGGAGGGGGACACGCTGCCCGCTTCCACGCACCGGAGCAGCTGCTCGGCGCTTTCCATGGAGACCGCGTCCGGGTCCGCGGCGGCACCTGGAGGAAGACGACACGTGTTACTCCCGCGAGCTGGAGATGAGCCTCGTCTCCCACCCTCCGCTCACCGAGCCTCGTTCCTGCTCAGGGCGAGGCGCCTGGGCCACCAAGGGCCTCCAGGAGAGGCGGGCAGCGCAGGCCTGGGGAAGGGGCGCGGGTGGGGGGCTGGCGTCTGGCTCGTGAAACGGCCTCCAGATACACTTGCAAGCGACGTCCGGAAGGGGGTCCAGAGGCAGCTCCCGGGCTGGGTCGCAGCGGGCCCGGGGACGCAGGGCCGAGGCGGGCGCGCGGTGGCCCCCGAGAGGGCAGGCGGCGCTCCCTGTCCCGGCGTCACACTGACCGGCGCTGCGCGTGAGCCGTGTTGCGTTAAGTCTGCTTGGAGTTCGCAGAACTTTCTGCATCTGTGACTTTCCGGCCTTTATCAACTTGGAAAAACCCTTACCTCCTTCAGTGCCACTCCTGCGCCATCGCCCGCCCTGGCCTGTGGCCAGGTCGCACGTGTCTGTCACTTGCCACCTCCCTCCTTCACTCCGCTCTGCCTGGGGCCTGTCTTCCCAGTTACTCTTTCGTGCTGCTCAAGCTCATCTTTTGAGGTCTTAGTTTCAGTTCCTACATTCTTCAGGCCTATAATTTCCAATACATTATCTTAATAGATTCAAATTATCTGGTGAAATCCTCCAATTTCTTGTCCATTTTCTTCGTTTTTGAACATCATAATCATAACGACTTCAAATTCCTTGTCTGGTAACCCCTTCCTCCCCGTTCGCTATTTCTGCTGCCCGTTTTCTCATGGTTCTGGCCACGTGGTCCTGTCTGTGGGGACGGACACAGGCAGCGGGCTGGCTGGTGGCATTTCCCTGCAGAGCGCGTCCCCTGCCTCTCCTGGCAACTGGACAGGTGGACGTCAACCTGACCCACTCCTGGGCCGTGCTGACCGGGGGCGGGCTCGTGTTTGGAGCCGTCGTCTACCTCGGATGCCCTGCTCAGAGTGCGTGGGCCACCGCTGCCACCGCTGCCGTGCTCGGAGCACACAGCCCCTCGTGCTGCACGTGAGGGTCGGGTCAGCCCTGTGGGCTCGGGACTGAGACTGCCCAAAAGTCCACGGTGAATTCAGAAACTCTCTGCACGGCTGCAGGATTTGGCAAAGGTTATGAAGGGAAGCCGAGTGTTGGTTCGAGTCCCGCCAGAACCCGCCAGCCTCCACCCTCGTCTCTCTGTGCACCTGTGGGGCTGCCAGAGCCTGCTGGCTGGGGGGCTTCTCAGGGCCCCGCTGGCCCTTTCTCTGTCCCCTTGCCCAACGCCCACACCTAGAACTGCCAACACCCTGAAGGAAAGGAGGCAAACAGAACTCTGGCTCAGCTCGCAGTTTCATCGCCTCTGGGATTTGTCCTGGTGAAAGCTTTTCTCAGTCGCCCTCAGGGTCCACACACACTTTAGGCTGGCGTTTCAGCTCTTCTTGGCGGGGCTGTGGTCTGTCACAGTCTCTCCATCCCACCAGGCTCTCTGAGTCCTACTGCTCTGCGTGTCAGCGTCTTTCGGATACTTGTTATTAATACGAAGTACCGATAAACACGCACAGAGGAAGGGGTTAGCCACCTGTGACCATCTCCTGGTTAAAACTGACCTGTGTAATAGTGGCACCTTGCACCACGGTTTGAGTTGTTCCTTACCTCCGAGACTGTTACACGGCCAGTATTTCTCACTCTGGTCCCCAGGAAGCCCTGTCAAAGGCTCACTGGGTCGGGACGAATGGACCCACCGCGCTCCCCTGAACCACCAGGTGTTCTGAGCACCTCTATCTTGTGTGAGCGTGTGGGCTCTGAGCCAGCGCCTGCCTCTTCCTGGTCAGGTCAGCTGCTAGTGGAGCTCGATACAAAGGTAAGGACTTATCACCCGTTAGAACACATCTACTTTTATTTTCAGCTCCTAGATCAACACCAATACTCAGGCGCTTATTGACAAATCTGAAGTCAGTACGTTGTATGTGGGGGAGTCAGAGAAATGTGTCCTAAGGTGACAGCTGTTTACGTCTCTACCAGCTGATGAAAATGAACCAGCTCATCAAAATCTCTGATCCGGATTCTTTTGTTAAGAAAGAGTGGATTCCAACATAATCCAAAACCGGGCGCTGGAGGAATAAGGATGCTGAGACCACAACAGGAGCCCCGCCTTAGTGGCTGGTGGTGGCTTTTCTCCCACTCTGCCCTGAGCTGAGTGCCAGTTAGTCTTTGGTGAGAAAAACCTAAATATTCTGATATTTGCCTCAGAACTAATGACTTATTTTGACTATTGGATTACTTTCATGGTTTGTATTTTAAACACTTAAATACTACATTTGCTTGTCTTTCCAAATAAGTAGATGTCATTATTCAAAAAAACAGGAAAAAACGTACCATCATAAAAATAAATTTCTTGTGTTGACTTCAAAAAATCTAGGATACCATCTGCCTTTTCATTGGTGCCTTTGCCGCCTTCCTCCGTGGCGCCCTCCTCGGCGTCCGCGACGTCCCCCTCCGTGTCCGCGACGTCCCCCTCCGTGGCGTCCTCCCCGTCACTCGCCCTCACGGCTCCCTGCTCGCTGCTGCTGTCCTCGGGCTGGTACGTGAAGCTGACGCCAGAGGCTCTCGTTAGTAAGCCAGCTGCTTTCTTCCTTTTGATTTGCTGTTTCTTTTTCAGTTTCCTCTTTTTATTTTTGCTTATTGTGGGGCCGTCTGTGTGCCGTGGCTGCAGTTTTTCTTGTGAGAGACTCTGTTGTTTCTCCAGTTCTCGTTCCACAGGAACATTACTGGGATTTTTAAGTTTTTTCCTTGATTTAGGTTTTCTAATTCTTCTTCTCTTTGGTTGATCGTGAGGGTCCTGATCTATAAAAACAAAAATTCACATACAGCCATTTTCTGTGTAATGAAACCATCATAAACATATTAGGCTACAACACATTTTCCATTAGGATCTTGTAATTTTGGTAGAAAAGGAACTTAAAATATTTACTGTAGTGATTCTCAGCTGTGTCTCTACTAATTACATGACCGAGGACCCTGGACTGACATGAAGCAAGGTAAGAGCCTGCGTGTTCTTGAAAAGAACAGGCGCGTGTGGTATGTAACCGTCACATTGTTACAATCACGATACATGGCTTGCTTTTAAAGACCTAAAAGATGTTGCCATTTTACAGGGCATAAAATTCATTCCTATGGCCGCCTTACAGTCAACCAGCAGACGGTTCAAACAGCAGCACAAACTGTGGTTCCTGGGGCCTCAGTTACAGCATTTGTGACGTGGACCCAACGCCTAACTCTCAGTCGGGGTGAGAATCGGGTTCTGAGCAGCACGCTCAGGCATTACCAGTCCCATTCTGAGCCTTTGAAGTCACCACGCGGAGCTGAGCTAGCTGCGGTCACTGTCATCTGCTCACGGCAGGCTCCCGTCTCTGCTGCCACTGTAACCGGCCCGGCGTGCTGCACCCAGCTACCAGCCCTCTACAGAACCAAGGCCCGGCCGCTCCCACGGCCCCACCCGCCTCTCTGTGCCAGACGTTCGTGCCCGCCACTGCCTCCCGAGTTTGCCAGTAGGTTCTCGCGGTCATTAAAGAGAGGAAAGTTATTAACATGGCAGCTCGCAGAGGTCACTGTTTGGACTTGGGGTCCCGAGTGTCACTGCCCCAGGGCTCAGTCTGGTCACCTCAGATACTGGACAGGAGTAGAGCGTGTGAACTAAGGCAGCCTGGATACCTCAGCCCCGACAGTCCTGGGCCAAATGGCAGAGCTTTACGGAACAACTGAAATCTTTACTTTGATATTCTTTCCTATTCTTTCAAGGTCCTGCCCCTCAAAAACAAAGTTCTTTTACAACGTAAAGTACTTCAGTGCTAATTTTCTGTGACTTTCATATCTTGTCAGTTTGTCTCCTCCACGTAACTCTCCGAGACCCAGAGCCCAGGGTGCTCCATCCCCCAGCCTGTCCCAGCTCACCATCTTCATACCCTCAAGCAAAGAAAAGCTACGGGAAAGTTTATATTAGGGAACCAGAGGCTTGCCTATTTATAATCTGAGAAGCACACTATTTTGAAAAGCTGCCATCCCCAAAACATACCTTTCAGACATGCTAATTTTAAAAATAACCACAATTTGTGAAAATTCTCCCCGCTACTCTTTGGCACCTATGTGGGGAAGAGCTGCCGTAGAAACAGACACCCGAAATAGCCAGTCTCCAGATTATCCCATTCTTGCAGCTGCACCACATCACGTTACATAAGCTCAGTGTTTCAGAGGGACTGAGATTTATTCCACATTCAGAGCTCACGCTACAAACGCACGTGATAATTACCCTCAGCTCCAGAGGACCTCCAGGTGCTAAATAAAACATTAACAGTGACCTAAACCATGCATATGGGGGCCGGTTGTTAAAATACATTGTGATCAGATGCTTCAAATTACTTTCATAGTCTACTGTTTGCCTAAAATTCAGGACACTATTTTGTACTAACACGTACGTGTTGTTGCAAATGGTGGGATTTGCTTCTGTCTCCATTGCGTACACAGTGTGTGTGTGCACAGTATCTTCTTTATCCATCCATCTGTTGAGATACACTTTGGTTGCTTCGGTGTCTTGGCTAGTGTGAATAATGCTGCAAACAACATGGGTGCTGGTATCTGAGGTTCTGTTTTCATTTCCTTCTCATAAACACCCAGAAGTAGGATTGTTGGATCCCATGGTAATTCTATTTTTAATTATTTGAGGAACCTCCACACTGTTTTCCGTAGCGGCTGCACCAACTTACAACCCCACCCACAGTGCACGGGGGTCCCCTTTCTCCACATTCTTACCAACACTTGTTCGCTCTTGTTTTTTTATGGATCCCATTCTGACAGGTGTGAGGTGACACCTCCCTGTGGCTCTGATTTGCATGTCCCTGATGGTTACTGATGTTGAGCACGTTTTCATGTACCTGTTGGTCATCTGTGTGTCTTTGAGAAAATGTCTCTTTAGGTCCTCTGCCTGTCTATTCATTGGACGTTTGTTTGCTATTGAGCTGTATGAGTTCTTTATGTATTTTGGACTTTAACCCCTTGTCAGATACATAATTTGCAAATATTTTCTCCCATTCAGTAGGTTGCCTTTTCATTTTGTTGATGGTTTCCTTCCTTGTGCAGAAGCTTTTTAGTTTGATGTCGTCCACTTGTCTATTTTTGCGTTTGCTGCCTTTGCTTTGGGTGTCAAATCCAAAAAATCACCACCAAAACCGATCAATGCCCAGGAGCTTACCACCTGTGTTTTCTAGACTTATGGTTTCAGGTTTATGTTCAAGTCCTCAATCCACTTGAGTTAAGTGTTGTGTGTGGTGTGAGACGGGGTCCAGTTTCATTCTTTTGCACGTGGGTATCCGGTTTTCCCAGCACCACTTATTGAAGAGACTGTCCTCTCCCCACTGTATATTCTTGGCTCCTTCATTGTAAATGAATCAACCATGTAAGGGTGGGTTTACTTCTGGGCTCTCCATTCTGTTCCACTGATCTATGTGTCTGTTTTTATACGAGTACCACGCTGTTCTGATGACTGCAGTTTTCTAATATAGTGTGAAATCAGGAAGTGCGATGCCTCCAGCTTCGTTCTTTCTCTAGATTGCTTTGGCTATTGGGGTTTTTTTTGTGCTTCCATACGAATTTTAGGATTACTTGTTCTATTTGTGTGAAAAATGCCATTGGAATTTTGATGGGGATTGCACTGACTCTGTAGATTGCTTTGAGTAACATAGACATTTAAACAATATTAATTCTTCGAATCCACAAGCATGGGCTCTATTTCCATTTACTTGTATCTTCTTCAATGTCTTATAGTTTTCAGTGCACAGGTCTTTCACCCCCTTGGTTAAACTTATTCTTAGGTGTTTTATTCTTTTTGATGCGATTGTAAATGGGACTTTCTTGATTTCTCTTTCTGATAGTTCATTATTAGTGTACAGAAATGCAACTGATTTTTGTATATTGATGTTGTATCCTGCAATTTTACTGAATTTGTTTACAAATTCTAACAGATTGGAGTCTTTAGGCTTTTCTGAATACAGTATCATGTCATCTGCAAACAGTGAGTCTTACTTCCTACTTTCCAATTTGGATGCCTTTTATTTCTTTTACTTGCCTGATTGCTCCGGTTGGGACTTCTAGTAGTAGGTTGAGTAAAAGCAGTGATAATGAGCATCTTTGTCTCAAATAATTTCCCACCTTCTTTTCTCAGTGTTTCCTTCTGGAACATCTATTAGTTGAATAAATATTAACTGATGCCAAATAAAAGCATTCATAGACCATTCTATTATTGTAATGGATTCACTTAAAACTAAAGTGGTATAAAGGTTTACCAAGATCTAAATATTTATCTAAATCAAGTTTATGAATGTGATAACAATGGTTTAGAAATTAAGTAACTGTATTTCACAAAAATAAAGAGCAGTCAGAACAAGTGTTTTCCCCCTTTCCCCCCCAAAGGCTGAAGAACTGTGCCTGTTCCACTGGAGCTCTAACATGAATATTCTGACATCTGGTACCCACAGTCCTCAGTCAACCTCCGTCTAAAGCTGTGCTCACCCTCTTATCTGGGGCAGGGGGCAACAGTCCAGAGTCTCAGGCATGTGTGTCGGTAAGATGCCAGTGAGGCAAAACTGTGGGCAGACGAAAGTCCTCGCCTCCCAGAAACCGTCTAGGCCTTCTGGGTGGCCTAAGGGTGCGTGGGCCTCTCTGGGTCTGGCCCTTTATTTAGTCTGTTGACAGGTGCATGCAACAGCGGCAGGTGGTCTGAGTGAGAAGGTTATTCATTATGGAAAGAGAGGAGGGCTCAGAATGGCCCCACCTCCACTGTCCCTCGCAGCTACCCTCGCTCAACCCATGTGAAAGGAAAGGCTTTCACATAATTAAATGTTTTAAGTCTCATTTCAATAAATCAGCAGGATGAAAATGAACCTGATTTTATCACACCCTTGAGCAAGCATGTCGTGTGTGGAATGCAGCACCCCCCAACCCCCAGCTTTGGCCAGACTCCGGCTGCTTTGGGGAACAGTGCACCTTCTTCGTCAGATGAGCTGGAAGACCCAGCTGGCCCTGCAGTGATCCCCGTGGAAAGCTCAACCATGCCACACACCAGACTGGACGGTGCCGATGAGATCTGAATGCCAGGCCCAGCTCTGCCACAGCGTTTGACTCACAATGAATCCGCATTAGAAATGTGCATTATCATGCTTCCAACAGCCACGAATTAATAACTATTTCAACTGGTGCTTGCTATTAGAATCATCATAACAGCTTTTCATAAAAATAACTTTTCATGATTTTGCAGCTTGATCTGAACACAAACACGTCCACACAGTCCGAGACACTTGTGGTTCTGAAGGAGAGAGGCCGCCGCTCGCCTTTGTTCTGTAAATAATTACCTTACGTGGTTCACCAAATATTGACCGAAGACTTAACTGCAGCAGGCACGATGTCTCAGGAGGGAGAAGCTGGCCGTGCTTGGGGTACACAGGTTTCGCAATGAACCCCACGAGACGGTCCAGTTTGCCAGCCCAGGGGCATCGGCCCCGTCAGAGGGGCGACAGCCACCACACAGTCACCTGCGGGGCTGCAGACCTGGGCCCTTTGCTGTCTGTCAAGTCGGAGCTCAGTGGGGCGATGAGGAAAGGACGGGAGTTACACCGACGAGAGGGCAGGTCCGCGTCTGCGGCGAGGCTGCGTCAGAGGCCCGGATGGTGTGGGGGAGGGAAGGAGTTGGGCAGACGGAGATGCCCTTTGGTGGCTCGATGCAGCAGCGGGCAGAGGCCCGGAAGCGAGTCCAGAGGTCGGGCTGGAGGGCAGGGCCACGCCTCAGGAAGACTGAG